GGGGGGCACTCGCCCCCCGGCTCCTTTTGCCCACACCTTAACCTGGGGCCCCGCCCCCCCCCCCCCCCTCCCCCCCTAGGCCACGCCCGCCAAGATCGACTGCATCACAGTCGTCTCCTGCTCCTCCCTGCCCTCCCTGCCCGCCCGCACACCCACAGCTCCCCACGCTCACCCCCTCTCCGCTGCCCGCGCGACTCATGACCCCGCCCCGGCCGCGTGCACAGACGTCGATGGAGGCGGTCTCGGTCGAGGCTTCCGCCGCGCCCGTCTCCATCGTCCTCCCGCAGACGCAGCTGGCGGCCCTCGACGCGACGGAGGAGCGCCGTCGTCAAGAACATCGAGGCGCCATCGCACGCCAACCTGGTCGAGATCGGCAAGGCGCTCGAGGCCAACGCCTTCCTGGAGATCCTCTACTCGCGCGACCGCATCTCCCAGGAGGCCATCTCGGCGCACGAGGCGGCGCACGACTCAAGCTCCTCGCCTTCGTCAAGGCCGCCAAGCCGGACGCCGCCACGGCAAACAAGATCTTCGCCCTACTCGATGACCACCACAAGAGGGCGCCCGCCCCCGCCCCCTCCTCGCCCTTACCTGCAGGTCGAGGAGGAGAACAACAAGGTGAACTAGAACGGAAGAGCCGGGCTGGCGCCGGCTGTGGCGGGCCACACACAATGCCCCAGCGCGCCCGCGTGCAGCAGGCGGGCCGGCGGTACATGTCCCGCCACCCTCCGCGCGGCTAGCCGCCGCGCGCCTCGAGGATAGGGGATAGGCGGGACCGCACACATACATACTTTGATGTCGTTGAGCGAGATATACTATAGCCCACTCTCATGTCCCCGATCTTGGTGTGAGTCGGGAAGGGACGGACAGGGAGATCTTTTCACTTTTTTGTTGGGTGTACGAGGTACGCTTTAAGGTAGGTAAGGTAAACTTCTCCACACACACAAGGTGGTGGGGGAAGGGGGGGCGACCCTCGCATCTCCACACCCGGACACGGGCAGGAGCCCCACGGCATTCAAAGTGCAAGCACTGGCCCGGTGCACGTGGGTGAGCAGCCTGCCCCTCCCTCCCGACAAACCAACTCCCGCACACACACAATCGCACTCTGGCCATCGAATGACTCCCACTTCGCACGATCTCGCAGTGGGGTTCCCCACTGCCGGGGGATCCCCACGACACGGCTAGAGCCTACAGCCTAGAGCCTCTCAATCGGACGAGGCGGGCTCCGGGTCGCACGCGGCCGCGTTGAGCGCCGAGATGGCGGTGAGGGTGATGGAGCACGCCTCCTCGTTCTTGCGCAGGGCGTGCAAGCCGCCAAAGGGGAGACTCTTGCCCTCGCCCGGCGCCTTCAGCTTGACCTCCTCCGTCAGCGAGTAGAAGCGGGGCGTGAGCCCGGGGAAAATGCCAAACTCGAAGTAGTCGTCTCCGCCGCCCTCGAAGGCGAGCGGCTGCTTCGTGCTGCAGTTGGAGGTCGCCGTGAAGGAGAAGGTGTACGTCTCGCCCTCCTTCCAGCGCGAGGTCAGCTCGACCGCGTCCGGAGTCGTGTAGGTGAGCGGCTCCTGCGCCGCAACAGAGATGGGGAGATGTGGGGAGATGTGGGGAGATGTGGGGAGATGTGGGGAGATGTGGGGAGATGCTGCAGTCCGCATCTAGGCCTCGAGAGATGGGGAGAGATGGCAGAGAGATGACAGAGAGGGGGGGAGATGCCGCGGTCCGCATCTAGGCGTGCCGCTCCCACGGCCCGTTGATGCGCAGCGTGTCGTACGAGGCCCACAGCCGGGCCTGCGCGCGGCCCGTAGCGAGATTAGCCGAGGGTAGCCGAGAGCAGCCGAGGGTAGCCGAGGGTAGCCGAGAGCAGCCGAGGGTAGCCGAGAGTAGCCGAGGGTAGCCGAGGGTAGCCGAGAGTAGCCGAGGGTAGCCGAGGGCGGGCCTGCGCGGGGCTCACGGCGTCGACCGCGCGAGGCCACGCATTGCCGGCCACGCCGCAATGCCGCGGGGGTTGGCCGTGGCCCTCGCCAACGTACGTCGCGCCCAGCGAGACGAGGAGGGCGAGGAGGAAGCCGGACCTAGGAAGTGTCTAGGAGGTGTCTAGGAAGTGTCTAGGAGGTGTCTAGGAGGTGTCTAGGACACCTCGTCCGCAGGCAGGCCGAGCGTCTCTAGGAAGTGTCTAGGAAGTGTCTAGGAGGTGTCTAGGAGGTGTCTAGGAGGTGTCTAGGAGGGCGAGTGAAGACGAGGGGATGCGGTGAGTAAGGCCGGGGAGCACAGCGGAGGCCGCGTCCTCTCGAGCGCCAGTTGGAAGACACAGACACGCATTCCGCTTCTAGGAGGCCGGGGACATGCCCGCCACGCCCGTGAGCACGGTCGAGTGCGAGCCGCCCACCATCTCGCTCGCCTACGGGACGCGTCCTAGAGGTGTCCTGGACATGTCCTGGACACGTCCTGGACCCGCCCACCATCTCGCTCGCCTACGGGACGTGTCCTAGAGGTGTCCTGGACATGTCCTGGACACGTCCTGGACCCGCCCACCATCTCGCTCGCCTACGGGACGTGTCCTAGAGGTGTCCTGGACATGTCCTGGACCCGTCCTGGACCCGCCCACCATCTCGCTCGCCTGCGGGGAAGGGTCCGAGAAGCTTCAGGGCAAGGGCCGAGAAGCGTGCGAGCCGTGCCCAGCGCATGCAAATCCCAAGTTATCGAGCCGGGGCTAGGGTTCGGTACCGGGCAGGGTAGGGTGTTGACCTCGCCTCGGGCAGAGTGTGTTGAAGAGATCTCGGCTCTCCCTCTCGGCGATAGCTCGGCTCTCTCTCTCGGCTAGACCTCGGGCAGGATGGTGTTGAAGACCATGGCCCCCATCATCCCGCCGCACACGCCCTCGATGAAGGCCTGCGCCGCCTGTGTCCCCCACTCCTCCTGCACGGCGGGGTCGAAGGCGAGCGAGCCGAGAAAGGCGCACCTGGAGGGGGGGATGTGGGGAGATGTGGGGAGATGTGGAGAGAGGCGGGAGAGGTGTGCGGAGCTGAGTCTCGCTGCACATGATTCCGAGGACGAACGCCTCCGGGATGGCGTCGATGAAGCAGGTCAATCATTAATCCTGCTA